ACACACACACACACACACACACACAGACACAGACACAGACACAGACACACAGACACACACTCACTCACTCACTCACTCACTCACTCACACACTCACTTACACAACCTCAAACACGCACTCACTCACTCACACACACACACACTGTCACTTTCACACTCTCACACACACACACACACACACACACAGAGACAGCCAATCCTACAGTGTTTCTTCTACATTCCCAGTGTCTCCACAGGATTGTGAGACTGTGATGGGTGCACATTGGTTCCTCTAGTCTAGGGGGTTCCAGGGGTATGCCCCCCATAAGAAAATGTTGTTCATTTTAAATTGAAATGCATAAATCTGGTGGATAAATGAAAAAGACTCGATCAATAAAGAAATATGTGCTCTTCTATTATAAACAATTTCGTGCTCTAGTAGTAATTTATTTATTGGTTGCATTGATGTGAATGTGATGGTAGGGCACAATTTCACTATATACATTCTTATAAAAGCTACAAATGCTATTCTGTCAAGAGCAGGGAGTGATTTTCTCCTCGTCTTTTGTTGTTTGATTATCATTAACGCTGACACTTAACTCAAGAGACGAGACGAGACACGAGATTGGGTTCAGGAGAACTTTTCACATTATTTTTTACAAATTCTCAGTGACCAAATACATGACTGGAAACATAGCCTGCAGGTGCATTTTGAATTGTTTTACACACACCACTGCAATTAAAGAAGTATAAACTACAACATAAATACAATAACATTAAAAATGACCCCAACATCAGTGTGACATTTTGCCTCACCTCTTTTAATGAAAAATGTGCATCAGTCAGTGTCTGATATGAGTGTATGAAGCATAAAAACACCTCAAAAGCATGTCTCAAATATATGACACAGTTTCAGAGTACAGAAATGAAAGAAAAACAAATGAAATAAATGTGAATAAAACACACACAAACAATGAAAACATTTGGTTGCACTTGCTTTAAAAACATGCAAAAGTGAAGGCAATACACCGGCAGAATGCAGTGACTACAGCAACACTGGAGCTCAGGCAGTTTCTGCAGTTTTCTCTGATCCGAAGCCGTCTGTCAAAGGACAGATACGAGTCTCAGAGATCTGTACTGCGTTTTACCTTCGCTCCACAGATTTGCATAAACTTGGTGTCGTTCTCCAATATTTGGCAATATACATAAAACAGACAAGAATGCTAAAGAAATGAAAATACTAGAAATTCAGTAGTTTTGACACGATGTGTATGCACAACTTACTCTAATATAAATGTGAAATTACTGCAAAACTTGTACACGTAGACATTAGCATGCATATGAAAAGCAGAGAGCAGTGACGCAAACGAACCATGATTTGGCTTCACATTCATACACGAAGCAGCTTTGAAGTGTTTATAAGAATCTTTGATTGAAACACATCGGCTGCATTAGACCTGCTTGCATAGGAAAGATAAAATCTGTGAGAATAACACGCAAAACACTGTACGAATGACATTAACACTGATACACTGAAGACAAACTAATATAGAGGCACTTTCAACTTTACAATTTCATCTCATTATAAAAGAGCATCTGAAAACAAAATGTGACCCTGCAGCACAAAAGTCAAAATTATAGATTTTTCTTTTATGCCAAAAATCATTAGGATATTAAGTAAAGATCATGTTCCATGAAGATATTAATGACCTACCGTACCGTAAATATATCCAAACTTAATGTTTGATTAGTAATATGCATTGCTAAGAACTTCATTTGAACAACTTTAAAGATGATTTTCTCAATATTTAGATTTTTTTGCACCCTCAGATTCCAGATTTTCAAATATCGTCCTATCCAAACAAATTTGAAAAATTGACCCTTATGACTGGTTTTGTGCTCCAGGGTCACATATTGTGCTGAATGTTGAATATGAAAGCGTTAAACCCATGAGGACTGAAGTGAACCATTTATGACACTTTTCTTACATTCGTTCTGGAGGGATTGTCTCGTGATTAAACTGACATTATTCAATGTTGTTCCCAGATAAAACACTCACGGTTTATGTCCATACACACAGCACTAAAAGATACGGAGCGCTTTGGCTTGACATTAGCAGCATGAAAGAACTCGTACAGTCTTTGGTTATGAAAAGGCACTAATGATTTTGGCGAAACCCCCTCAATCTGTCTGGATTTAGCACGGAGCACACTCACTGCAAGCAGTATTAACAGGTTAGTCTGACTGATCTCTCACTTCTCCTGAAGGGCAGAGCGGTGGTTTTGACTGATGTCCTGGAGTCCAGCATCTGCTCTGAGGCTCTGAATGGCTCTCCACAGTCTCTCGTTCTCCTTCAGCTGATCGTTGAACTGACAGACATTTACAGAAAAAACAATCGTGTCTAGTTAGCTTGAAAAAACACATTCAGCGGAGCACGAGATTTGTGGAGTATTAAACCGCTAATGACACACTTCCAGAACCCTCCTTCAGTTGTTCATTACCAACACAACACTTAGCTATCTAATCAACCCTTTAAGCAATCGGTAGTTTAGCCAAATGTGAAAAATAGCTTTATACGAGATCAGGATGAGTTTGTTTCTTCGTCAGGTTTGTAGAAATGTAGCACTGCATCAGTGTCTCAGCAATGGATGCTCTGCAGTGAATGGGTGCCGTCAGAATGAGAGTCCAAACAGCTGATAAAAACATCACAATAATCCACAGCACTCCAGTCCATCAGTTCACATCTGGAGAAGACTAAAACTGAAAAATACGAGTCCATAATCCATAATAACTCTTCCTCCAGTGAAAAAGTGCATCTGCTGTTGTCTCTCACATCAAAATCCAGCCACATATGTGTTTAGAGCTGTTTAAACGCTGCTTGATCTGTGCAGATTTCTCTCCTGATTCACACCAGAACACTGACTCACTGGAGGAAGCGTTATTATGGATTATAGACTCTATGTATTTTAGTTAAAAATGTCTTGATGCTGGATTAGTTTCAGCTTTTGTCTTCTCCAGATGTTAACTGATGGACTGGAGTGCTGTGGATTACTTGTGGATTATTGTGATGTTTATCAGCTGTTTGGACTCTCATTCTGACGGCACCCATTCACATCCATTGCTGAGACACTGATGCAATGCTACATTTCTCCAAACCTGATGAAGATTTAATCTCGGATGGCCTGAGGGGGAGCACATTTTCAGCAGATTTTCATTTGTCTAAACC